CCCCAAAACCCCAAAACCCCAAAACCCCAAAACCCCAAATAAAAATATCCACATTGAACTTATACCACCAATACCATCACCACTATCCCCCTAACATCCTCTCTTCATCTTCCTTTTTTCCTCTCTTTCCCTTCTCTATCTCCTCTTTCTTCCTCTTCAAAAAATCTCCTCTCATAATCATACCCAACCCTGCCAAAATTCCTATTGCTCCAACATAGGTCATCAGTCCAGGCATATTATCTTGGCCAAGAAGGATGCCCAAGACCTGGCCGAGCACAGGCTCCAGCAAGAAGATGGTCCCTACAACGTGAGGAGCGAAATAATCCAGAGTGAAGACATAGCCTCCAATCCCGAAGATACCTGCGAAGATAGCTACGAAGAATAAAGAGTAGAAGAGATACTTATCAGCAGCCCATCCTAAGAGACCAGTGTGAGGGTCGAAAGAGCAGAATTTGTCCATGTTGAAAAAGAATGGATAGATTATGAGGATGACGATCAGTTGGATAAGGAAGTTTATGTTGAGAACGATCATTGAGGGAAGTTTGGCAACGAGTTTGGAGCTTACAAGGATGTAAAAGCCATAGAAAGGAGCAGAAGACAAGGCTAAAATATCCCCATAAAGAATATTAGTCTGTCCATTATTCTTACTCGGAGTTGACTCATCCACATCCATAACCCCCAAAAGCATCCCCACAGCCACCAAAACCACAACAACTGACCCCCAAATCTCCAAACCATGCACAATCTGTGCTCTTCAAAGACTAAGTCCTACTAAAAATACACCTCCAAGGTTTCCGAATAAAGCTGCACGGCCTACTATAGTATAATCAGAACTCAGCAAAAGTAAATTAGAGGCTGTCATCCAAAGCATTGCTGCTGTAAAAAACTGCACTCCAGTCTCTTTACAAAGCACTTTATCAATATCAATCTGGTCTCTCTGACTGTACCAAAAATAAATGCTAAAAGGCAAGCAATAAGCCACAAGCATCTGCCATCTCCATATAAGCCTGAGTACAGAACTAACTCCTTGATATCCATCAGCCAGAGGGAGTATTGAAGATGTGCCCAGTAGGCATACTATAGCTATGATTGACCCTATAGGAGGAGGTTAAGGAGTGAAGAGGAGTAGGGAAAAGGTATTGGTTGGTGTTTTGTGGGTCAATGGTTGTGTAGGTAAGAATTAGATTTTGGGGGAATTGGGTGAAAGTAAGTATTTTGGAAAAATTATACAAAAATTAAGCATCCTCGTATTACCTACAACCATATTCTTTGATTTTTTCGGCTTCTCTTCTGCAAAAGACACCTCAAAGGACCTCATAATTATTATATCCCAATAAAATCTTCTCATCCCGGGGTTTTGGGGTTTTGGGGTTTTGGGGTTTTGGGG